CGCCCCCCCCCCCCCCCATAGTTGAGCAGGTGCAGGATAAGTGAATGACCGTTTGATGGATTGAAAGACTTTAGAGATTCTGTACTGTTTGTCAGTGAGTGAAACATTCCCCCTGGTGTTGCTACAGGTTGTATTTTATATGTAATAGCTGCAATGGAAAGAAAGTGCTATTATTGTGAGGATGGAGTGTGTCAGCTTTTTTTTTTTCTTTTTTTTAAGCAGCAAATATGAAGGAATTCACAAAAGCATGTGATGCAGAATCTGTAATGTAAGCCCAAGCAAGCACTTCAGTACTGAGCTATAATTAGTGTGTTGTTTTATGTGAACTTGTCCTTGGTTTTAGAAAGTACAAGTGTATTGCACATTGAGTTGTATGTTTTGTTTTACTTTCCAAAGTGCAAAACCCCCCACTTTTAAGGGAAAAATCATCAGGTTATCACTGTAGAGTTCAGCGTGGTCCAGACAGCCTGGCTGAAGAGGCCAGTGAATGCTTGTCATCTGAATTTACCCAAATTGATTTAAGAAACACACACACCAAAACAACAGCAGCTTTGAGTAATATTCTTAAGCTCAGCCTATTGATTTAGTTTTCCTTTTCTTCAACTAAACATATGAGTAAAGTAAAACAAAACAATTAGCTCAGTATAAATTGTGTGTGTTTTTATAAAGAATGGTCCCTCTGGTTGGAAGGAAAACAACCCAGCTGATAGTTGTATAACTAGCTTTTCTGATTTGGCAGCATCTGTAAGCGGTGTGGAACTTGACAGGAGCAAGCCAGCTTTCTGCAGAAGGGATATATTTGATAGGAACACAAGCAGGCAGAATGCCTGTCGGACTGAAAGGTGATGAAGATCACGGCACCCCACTGGCAGAAACACATCTGGGCTTGTTTAGAAATCCCTGCTGGCTTTTCATGTGAAATAAAGTCCTTTTCATTCTCCCATCTTTCAGCAAATTGTTTTCCTACTTGGAATGGACACTGGAGAACAGGAAGCATGTTTGTAATCAACAAAATTCCTCTAAATTCTGGGTTATTTTGAGGGCCTAAAATAGGTTTCTATTTAGGCGGCTTTATTTCTTGCTGTTTACCTGTTTGTTTGGCCTTGTTTGCATTGTATGTATGTACATATTTAGATGGCAGTAAACCCAGCTATTGCCTGAGATTTTTTCTTAATTTTTCTACAAAGTTTGGTGAGTGGGGTCACATGAAAATAGATGTACTTACAGATTCTTCTTTATTTAGCTATCCTATTGCAAGTATATGCTTAGTGAAGACATTTGTTTATCTAGTACTTATTTTAAATCTGTTCTTTTGTCAGTTCTTTCAGCGGAGGAAATCTCTCTTCATTCTGTCTGCCTTATATCTGCTAGGAGACAACTATTAGAGACTTCCATGTTAAGAGGGAAAATTGACTTTCAGTGGAAACTTCTGTTAAACTTCTGTTTTTTAAAATTATATATTCAGTGTAATTCACTGCTAGCCTTCTTATCTTCCCTCCTTGCACCTAGGAGACAGAAACAAACAAAATATACTTCCCTTTTTGATATAGCAGCTACATTCAGATGTGTACTCTTTTTTTTTATTTATTTTTTGTCTGACATGACATGAGTGAAAAATAATGGAAAGTGTTTGTCTAATTACTGAGGTTTTGTTCTCAGTTGTAAACCAAAACAGACAACCAAGCTCTGACTGTAGAAACCAAAGTCTGGCAACACAGTTGCTGAATTCAATATCATGAATACAAAAGTTTTGAGAGAAAATTTGCGATTACATAATGTACAGCTGGATAAAATATTTTAACATCTTAGTTGTCTAATACTGTAGTTGCTTAAACTCCATAAACGCTTACCAGTACAGTGCATGGTTGGGCATCTCATTCCTATCAATGGCCTATGAAGTTGAAGAATTTTTAAAGTGCTCTTATTTTGTGGTACAATCCTTTTGGTGTTACTCATTAGAATTTAATTTGTTTTTTAAACGCTGCTCTGGAATACAACCACATTACTTAAGATTATTTCTGTATAAATATATTCTGGTTTCCACTTTGTGGTTACCTGCCCAGTCATCGATAGTAAAGAATCTGTAAAGTGTTGAACCTGGATTTTGCAGTTGCCCAGTCTGAGTCTAAAAAGCTAAATGACTGATGTGACTTAGTTTTGTCTGGGATCTGATTTGTATTTTGTGCTGTTCTTCCTCATTGTCTAATTGCTTTATTATTTTATTCGGGATTATGTCTTAAAGTACTATGTTCTCTGTCTTTCTGTCTCCTTCCATGAACCTGGAAAACTATACAGCAGTGCATCATAGGTATCAAACTGTTAATTAAAAAAAAAAAACCCAAAACCCAACAAAAAAAACCCCAAAACCCACAGACAAAATTCTTCTTTTAAAGGTCATTCAGGATAAGAGTTCATAGCATTTTCCAACAGTAGAGAACAAAAATGCATTTTAAAAAAAAAAAAAGGCATTCTGAAGTTTTTGTGCTTATAGTGCCCCCTCTTTAGCTGGATTTTAGAGAATACTGATGATCTTGATGGTAGTCTAAGACGCAAATCTGTAGACTACTTAGTTTTGCCAATAGCATCAAAATGACATAGTGTTTTGTTAGGGGGAACTAGACCTTTCCTGTCAAGTTGTCTGCTTAGAAAAATATAACATTGACCTGTTTGGTGAATAGGCTATTTGAATTTGGTTTGAATACTTTCTATGCTGATTTAACCTTGTTAAATCAAGTAGATTACTTTTCATGCTTGTGAATGTATGAGTTCTGTTAAATTTATCTCTCTTGTGCAGGATCATAAACAGTGGAATCTTTTACCACAAAAGCATATGTTGTATATTGTCAGAGATAATAGTAACATTGTTCTAAGCATTGAAACGTCTTGCTTTTTGATAGATTTCTTCTGCATTCTCATTTTTTAGGGATTTAACAAGACATCTAAGAAACCTAAGTAATGCTTAAAAGAGGAAACAAAGCTCAGTTAAAATATATCTCCTGTTGTTTATATGAAGACCAGGTCTTAATTTTAAAAAATCAGCTTTGTATTTGGCATAAAGAAATATGATTATGGTTGTTCTTATGGGAAACATGGTAAAAGTATTTTTTTGAACATTTGCTTGGTACAGTACCTGAATTCTGGTGCCTTATTGACAAAGTGGATTTGATGGTAAACAGTGTCATTGCTGTTTTGAAGTAACTGATGTATAGAGGTTGAGAAATCAGAAGCCTTTTTTTTCACTCTGTTGGCTTTGAAAATCAGTAACATCTCTTATGCTTATTACTAAATATATCCTAACTACAAAATACAGAAAAATGCTTTTGACCATGTATTCCTTCCATCTTTTATAAACTTGCATGTGATAAGGGTCACTTTTATTACTCCTTTGTTTTATCTTTAACCTTGAATTGTATTAAGTAGTTGGATCTACTTCTAAAACTTTTTTCATCCTTGCGTTGTTTTTGATAAAACCATGGTGTCACCTTTATATCAAGGTCATTCAACCCTCTAAGCTCTAGATACTTAAGCACTAATATATTTTTGTTGCCATTGATTTGACTGAAAGTTTTAAAGTGAAAGCTGTTGGAAATTCAATATTTGTTTTCTTGGCTTTAGGAGGAATCTCCTTAGAATGATTTTAATGTGAGGAACCGTTAAAAGAATGAATTATGTTTGCCTGGTAAGGTAGGGCCATTTGGAAAGAGGAGAAATAGGTTGTGTTAGCTTTAACCGACATATAAGAAAGACTGAACTGACCCTTTAAAAGGGAAGAAATGTGGCACCAAAATGGAAAAGAATATAGGTAGAAACCTCAGGAGATAAAATTTAGGAAAGAAAATTTGTGCCACAGTTGGGCATTTTACTAGACAGTAAAACCGTAGTCCAGAAAGGATATAATTTTGAACAGGAAATAATATCATTTTGAAAGTATATAATTTTGAAAGGAATATCTCCTGTCTGTTCAAGGAAGGATAGCAAGGTTACTAACTCTTTACAAGGGAACCTGTCTTTTTATATGTAAACAAAATAGACCTTTATGCTACAGGTGAGAGAAGTATTAACATTAAATTTAAATCTAGGTAGTGTGTTTTGAAGCCAGTGTCAATGTTGATGCATTTGATGGGTGTGGGGTTTTTCTTTTCTTCCCCCCGCTTAGAATTTTATCATTTCACAAATACTAGTTTTTGTGCTCATGAAATATGACACATTGGTAGATCTAGAGACTGAGGGCTTTTCCATATCAATTAATCAAGGTATAGCCAGACTACAAAGAACATTTCCTCATATTGCTAGAATGTCTCAAATCTCATGCTTTTAATCAAGGTTAGTTCCTTGTCCACACATACTACCACTACTGCTGTTAGAGTTTGTTGTTAACAAGGTGGTCAATTTCTTTAGAAATGCAAAATGAATGGGTGCCCATAAGATGTATGTTGAGATCACAACACGGTTCTCGCATAGTAGTTTTGATCACTTCCAATTTGAACAGGATTGAGTTTAATCCACTAAAAGTGTAAAGTCTCTTAATATTTGTTCCATTTGCATTTCTGACTGCAAGCCAGTGAAATGATGTTAATTTAACAGCATATTCTAATGTGTGTCTAAGTACTGTACTGTGACCCTTTTTATGTTCAGTAACAGTGTGCTATTTATTCCAGGATGATGTGATGATGCCACAGCGGGTTAGACTGCAGCACGAAGCTGCCATTCAACACCCAAACAGTGTGAGTACTTTTTTCTTGTGTGTATTTCTGTGTTTTTCTTTTACAGAGTGCCGGATACATCTTTAAAAGGATATGAAAATTTCACAGTAGGACTGGTGATGGCAAAGCATTAACTAGTGTATTCTTTTCCTTTATTTTTAATCCTTGCACTGAATAGTAGCTTTGATTGAACTTCTTTTCTTCCATTTATTTTCTCTGTTCAGTAAACCAAATCTCATTATGACAGTGATACTCTTTTTCAAGTAAGCATACAGGTTTTGCTAATGTATGTAATCTAAAGGAGAATGCCTTTTTTATGTAGCCTTACTAAGTAATGTGAAAAGCTGCAAAGGATTGGCTACAGCTATGGTTTATCTGGTTTTAATATTTAAGAAACTGTAAGGAATGTGTGGGTTGTTATCATTAATAAACTGGCCTACAGTTAAATTGATGTTTCTCCCTATATCTGCCTGCAAAAGAAAATCTTATTAGAATGCCATTCTTTATTCTTGTGAAAAAAACCTCTCAAAAACGTTCTGTGAGATAGCTGTTTTGTGATTTATATGATTTTGATTTTAAATAAATTTCTGTGATTAGGGCCAGTATCCTTTAGAGAGAGTTTGTGTATTATCTTCTTACTTGAAAACAATAAATATAAATAACTTATGGCAATTAATTTGTCAATGTTATTGACATAGATACTCCTTTATAAAATTGAAAACTGAGTTTGTATTCCTATCAGCAATGTTCAGCAAAAATAAGCTTATTGTTTTCACATCTCTGACATTTTGTCTTGAGATTTCTTTCAGTGTGCAAGAGGTTTCTGGAAAGGAAAGGTCAATTGACTTGATCTGTCAAGAAGGTATTTCCTGCAGGTCTCAGAACAAAATAGACAGTTTTAGGATTATCACTCTTTGAGACTTAAACACCTTTTGAACTTTTCCTCCGAAACACATTTGCTTCAAAATAGAGATTATTGTGGTTGTTTCAGCTGAGGAATGTCTGCCAAACAACTGTCTGTTTAGTGGTGGGATATGGGTGCTCATCACACCACCTGTATTAGGTCTCTTATGAAATCTGATAATCCTCACAATGTAATTTATCAAATTATAGTTTTAGTAGTACCTGAGTAGCAGTTAACCTAGTTCATATTATGAACATAATAAAATGATACATCAAGAGTTGTTTTTGTTCTGATGTGAATCGGTTAATGTAATTCTGTAGTAAAATGTCAGAAAACCGGAGAGGCAAGTTGATCCAGTAAGCTTGTTTTATGGAAACTAGCGTTAAGAGCAATCGTATTTCTTGCTTATGTGACTTCTATATCTGTATATTAAGAGTTTTTTTAAAATTAGACTAATTTCAACTAAACAGCTTGTGGTCTATTTAGAAAACACTTCAAATGTTTTGTTTCCATTCTGTTATGCTTTAGTGCCTAACAACATTCAGTATGAGCTATTAAATGACAACTGAGTAAGTAATAATGAGTGCCTGAATAGACTGAAGGGTATGTCTTCATGATATATTCCAAACAACACAAACTTGCTCCTCCCATGCTCTAAACTAATCTAAACTTGTGGTCCTGTTTTAGTGTGGTACTACTGGCCTATTTGAAAAGCTTAACTTGAGCTTTGCACCTTACTAAATAACACTAGCCAAAGTTAGTCTGATTTAGCATGGGAAATACGGGTTTCCACCTTTCAGTTATCTGACATATTAGTAGCTAAAATCTTCAATTTAGGAAAGTGTAAAAATTCTCAGAAATTAATGGAGAGAAAGGCCTGAGATTTTAAACCTTAAGAAAAATGGTGGGGGGGGGTGTGCTCCACATATGGCATAGACGTAGTATATCTGGGTAGAGCCTGTCTCATGCCATCACTTTCTTTCAACTTTCTACTGAACCAGAGAGTTTCCTTGCAGCTGTTTGTACAATGACCTTGGTTTTCTTTTTTTTTTTCTTTTTTTTCCTTTAAACTTCTACTGGTCTTTATTTTCTATTATTTCTTGCCTTGTGTTGTTGCCTTTTAGGTGTAAGGATTTCCTTCTTTGTTCTTGAACCCTATGAAGGCAAAAAATGAATCTGTTTGAATTGAATGGAACATGTTTTTCAATTTTGCAGGTGTAGAAAATGTTTGTAATGCATATGTGAAGTATACCTATTTGGTTAATGTTGTATTTTACAGAACTCTAATTCAAAGGCCTGAAAGGAAAAATGGGAACATCTGTTCCTGATGAACAAATATATCACTTTGGTCCAGAGCTCCCCAATAGTTCTGACACAACTTGAGTTACTTTGAGAAAAGAAAAGTTGACCTTCTGGCCACAAATCTACTGACCAATGTCAGGGTGGACTGTTGTTCTTAAAAGAATGATGGTTGGGGATATTTGAATGAAGTTCTGTTCTGACTGAAGCTAGAGTCAGAACTTCAAATACAGTATGATAAGCCAGAGTAGGTGGAGACGAAAAAAAAAAAAAAAAAGCAGAAGCTTGAGAAATGCCTGTGAAGCAGTGAGCTTTTTCGGTTTGTTCCTGAATTCTAATTTGCAGACTTGGACTTTCCACTGTCTTGCAACTTCTTCTGACCTGGATTTTTGACTTTATGTAGTCTCAGTGTACTTTCAGAAATCTTGTTCGTAATCCTAGCTTTGCCAGTTGTTACTGGGAGCCAGAATTCCCACTGGGCTCTAATATTGGAGGCTTCAGTCTACTGTCATTACTACTGTGGATTTACAGGTAAGAAAAGTGTCCAACTTCCTCCACCAAGAGAAATCTTCTCCCAGAAGATTAATGTTATTCTTAAATGCAGATTGCCTTACCCTGACTTGAAGCCTAGTTGGTAAACAGTGGAATGAAAGCTATCAGATGCCTTTGGAATGACTCTCCAACCAGTTGTTCTTCAGAGAAACTGGTGTCTCTATTTCTGAAAAAGCAAGAGGCTTGCCCCCAGGTTCAGGTACTGGAATATGACTGCGGTAACACTGCAGCAGCCCTTAGCTTTATTCCCTATATCGTAGACTACTTAATCATGCTTTAAAGAGCAAAAGCAGATTCATCTCTACTCTCTTAAACTATTTTTATCTTGAACACATTCTTAAAAACATCTTGTAGGATGGAACTGTTCTGTCAACAGTAACATTTAGAGTGGAGGATTTTGGAACTCAAAAGACAAATTACTAATACATTATGATTTTATTAAATGCAGCTCTCTGGAACTGCTGTCATCTTGTCCTCTGGTAAATATTTTGCATTATATCCAAGTCCTGTTGGCAGGGATTCTATAAATAGGACACTCTTAAGAGACATGAGTTTTTAAGACTTTGCGTATTTATACTACATATTCTTAAGCTCTGCTAGCTCAATATTAATACCTACTTTTAGGAGTTTGAAAGCTTAGGGACATTGTACTGTCTATTGATAATATAATAGCTACCAACCTTTTGGCACTGATTGTCCAGTCCACATGTGCACTTATGCCGCATACAAACATGCCTTCAAATTGCTTATGCTCTAATCAGATAAGAAATGACTTTGTTACTAGAGAATGAATGACTGTTACTAAAATTTCTCCCTTTAGTTTTTGTTTATCCCTAGAAGCAGCATCTATCCCATTTCTCCAGAGTAAGCCAGCTTATTTACCAACCACAAATCATGTATGCTTTGTTGGCAGCTAATGAGTGGGAAGATTCAAGATCGCATTTCCCTTAATTCTGAAAAAATCAGGCCTTCATATCTTATTTTATACTTGTGTTCTTCTGGAGAAGATCCAACTTCGGGTACATACTAGTGTTCTGTTGAACAAGGCTTCTGAGTTTGGAGTAGCCCAGGAAATGTGTGGTTTCAACAATATTTCCCAAACCACCTCCCCTCCTCCCTCGCATCTTTCACACCTATGTCCCACATGTATTCTGTTGTTTTATTTGAGCAGAGTAGGAACCTTTAAGAAGTCCCAAAGCTTTTTGTTTCAAGGACAGATGAGATTGTTAGCAGTATTTGCTCTCAGGTTGTCTTGTTGCAGGGTACTTGCATCAGGACCTCCTATGGGCATGCCAGAATGAAATCACTGGCTGTGGTTTGAGTGTACTGCTGGAGAGCTTGAGTAGCATTAGGGAGCTTCTCTGGAAAGTGCTTCATTCCTGAGATGCATAGGTACCTGGCCACACTTTGCCAAGCCACTGTGCCATTGTGGAGGCTTTCAAGAATGGTGCAGCACTTGGAATACTCTTCCAGTTTTTCTTTTTCCAAAGGATTCCAAATGTTGGAAGGAGAAAAGAAGGGTGCTAAAATGACATGTACTACTGTTCACACTCAAAACCTGCTGACCTTCTCATCTGTCTTGGAGCCATACTGAATGGTATGGACACCATTTTGTCTGCTGGGCATGGTGTTACTTTATTCTTCCTCTCACCACTGTTTAATTTGAGTATATGTGTGCCCCCACAATATGGCTGTACACATGAACAGCATGTGGCTTCCAATTTTTGCATCTCTCTCTTTCTGCAGAATTGCTTAGAAAATAGCTAAGCTCTTCCTCGCTGTCTCCTACGTCTTCCCAACAGCTGGAATAAAAATTTCGGCAAAGGAAATGAGGAGTGTTATTTCCTTTTGTTTTCACTGGCTGAATAAGAGGAGAATCTGAACCAGTGTCAGAATGAACACCTTCTTTTTGTTGTAAAATTACTAGCTTCGTTCTCAAACATGTAGGATACCTAGGCATGTGAGAGAACATTGAATATCACCATTTGCATTTCTTCAATGAGAAATTCTTACTGTTTTGCATCTCTAAAGCAAATTTTTGGCATATTCTGTAGCTTGTGTTGTGGTTTAGCCCCAGCCATCAACTAAGTACCACGCAGCCGCTCACTCACTCCCCCTGCCCTGGTGGGATGGGGGAGAGAATCGG